AGACTGTTGAGTGTCCCTTGGGGTGAAATGAGTGTCACATTCAAGACCTGCAAGGAACCACGCATGTTTACCATAGCAGCAAACGATGTTGCCCGAACATGTTCGGAGCGCCTTAGGGGCGACGAAGTGTAGACCCATGAAAAAAGATATAGCCGTCCTAACGACTACTAGTAGTGATTTGCGTTGTTTGCTTCACAACTTGACATGCATGTGATCCTCACAACATGCAGTTGCCAAGCTGCCTGCTCTGCCAAACAGCTGAGAAGCCTGCAGCAAAACATGATCAAACCCAGCTTTTTCGCCCAACTTGATTTTTCCTTGGACGGGCGTCTATGTCCTACACGTGTCGGATATGTACTATACAATGTTCGTATGGTGCACAAAACAATGGCAAACTTCATTCCAAGGATTCCAAGAAACTCCTAGTGGATTTCAACCGCTAGGATTGGACACCCCTACAAGTGGGAATAGTCGGAATAGTGCATCGAGCAATCAGGCCCACAGCGATGTACAGTATTTTGCTTCACGTCGAGGAAAGAAAACGGTTCTGAGAATTGAACGCCAATTATCTATCCAACGCCAGGACATCCTGAAGCTGATGTATAGTATCAAAAGTGAACAGAATTCTTGTGTGTTGGGCGGAGGCAACTCCTTTGAAGCCCCATCATAAGATTGGCAAAAGCAGTCGAGGCATGTGGAGTCCTCTATCCGGGCCAACATCAGCAAACTTTCTGAGGTCAATCTCTTGAATCCTGCTGGTTCATAGCCATGAATAGCAGAAAACGGTCAGAGAGTAGCAATGCAATGTTACGTGACAAGAGAAAGGAAATTGGCGAGACCTATGATCAACTTGCTGCCAAGGCACTTCCCATTAGAGAAACGTGCTGCTGGTCTCAAGCCCTTTGGCTTCTATGGAGGAAACAAACTGTTTCAAACCCAATTGAAACAAGAGCACACCACCACAAAATTTGCAAGCTGTCATGTTTCCAATATAGCTTTCACCAGCCTGAGGAAAATTGTTGTCAGCCAGTCCGAATCAGCTATTCTACTTCTTGCTTTGTTGCCCTGCATGCGCTCGATCCACTGATGATACAAATCTCTCACACGCAAAGGGCATGTGAATCCACAGTGGCAACCCCCTTGCTCAAAATGATTGGTCTCAGCCTGACTTTGGAAGGCTAAAGGCAAAGCATCTTGGGAAAAAAAACATTTCAGCAAATAGGACAGGCACACCTGGTTTTCTTGAACTTTTGTATCCTCTGGACATCTTTGGATTTCTTCTGCATTCCCGTCAAACAAGGCAGCATGCTGAGCTCAGAAGCACCAGTCATAAAACTGTGGCATTGTCATGATACAGGGAAGTCCGAGCATAAGATTCTTGGCTCTTGGCCCTGCGCTGTCTTCAGTCAAGGAGACTGTGTACATATTATAGCAAATGCCTTTGGCAACAACAAAACATGAAAAGGGCAAGCCACCGGGCTAAAATCCCAAAAGATTTCGCCAAGCCGCAAGCGACGTCGATTCACCGTCGTTTCTGAATTAACATATCTTCTTCAGAAGTAATCAGAGTCTTCAAACTCTTCGGATGTAGACTTTCTCCCATCCTCCAATGCGGGGTATCCTCGCGCAATATGGCCGCCCAAAACCTGGTTCGTGGTTGTGGAACGTGAGCGCATGAGTGAAGTCTCCCCTCTCGTTCCACAAGCCGTAGTATGAGCCATCTGGTTCCAGCTTCCAACGACACCGGTCTTCCTCAATGCTGCCTTTGCTGATCCCCACCCAAAGCTTGTTTGTTTCGTGGTCCATTGCGCACAAGTAACGGCCACTGCATTTCATGCTCTCGAATTTATGAAGGTCACCGTCGATATGCAGCCGCCATGAGGCTTTCGTTAGCTCATACCCTTCCAGAGTGGATCTCTTTCTTGCAAAAACATAGTTGTGATCGTCACTGACATAGACGTAGTGATCATCCCATCTGTTGGTTTCCATGGTGACAATGTCACCATGAAAGAACAAACGGTTATCATAATCTGTCTGCAGTTTTTGCAACTGCAATCCATTCATGCCATGTTCTCTTGCCGGATCTAGCACATCCTGCCATTCCTTGCGGGTGCTCTGCGGGTTCAACTTGGTTGATTTGATCAGCGTGCACACCTTGATTTTGGAAACCTCTGTCATCTTTGGAAACTCATTCACTATTTGTTTCAACCGCTCAAAGCGTGTCTCCATGTGCCCAAGCGTCCCTGTGACTCCATGCTCTCTGACCCACAACTTCACTGCTTTTGTGAAAGAATCAAATTCCTTCGACAGCCCGAGGCCATATTTTTCATCGAACTCCTCGATAAGCCTCTGAACCTTCTGCTCATCCTGTGGCACGACAAAAGAATGTGAATGTGTATTCTAAACAAAAGCTATGCAAACACTTTACGCGCATTGCGCCTCCAACCAATGGTGCGCCTTTCGCAGGTCATCCGGCGGGACACCAACTGATTCGCAAAAAAGTAGCGCTTCTCGGACCTTCTTGATGGACTCTGCTTGTTCTACAGCTGTGTCAAGAACCTGTACAGGCTGCCAATCGATTTGCAGAGTGGGAAACATATCTTTGCTGGGCGCTACTGTGTGCTACAATGAACAAGCTGGAGCACTTCGAGGTCTGCGTGAGGGCATGCTACGTTTTTGAAGTCCCCTCTCTTTTGCCCTCTCTCTCGTCTCTCTCTCTCTCTAGTCAACGCTGCTTGTACACGCACTTGTATAGGTTATTGTTCTTTCTGGTTGTGGCTCAAGGCGCCTGCAGTATTGTACATCAATCTTGTGCGTGCAAAAATGTAACCCCCCTGTGTCTTCACACCATCCCTGATTTGTTGATGTTTTCAGTCAATTTAGTTGCGCGTGCCTTCATCCTTTTCCGGCCAGCAAACACAGCAAAGAAATGCAAAGAACATATTAACACAAATGGCTCTTGTCTCGACAAACGCAGCTGCTTTTGCACACGGGTAGGCCTGCTTCGCTTCAGCCTGCAGCATCCGAGAAAGTTCAAGTGATCTTGAAGGGACAAACTTGATGATTTCTGAGATGGCAAATCAAGACATGGTTCTTCCAAATGACACCCAAGGCAGAGCCTTTAGCCAGGTCCTCGCAATCTGCAATTTGTCCGCTGGCAGATTAAGAGATTCGCAAAGGGCAAGGGCTTGTTTTACGGCTTCCATAGACTTTTGCTTGTGAGCGTTCTCAAGCTGTCCCAATGCACTCTGCGTTTCCTGGCAGGACTCCAAAAGCACGACGCATCTTTCCCGTGTTCGGTACAGGACTGGTCAAATGCAATGTTTTTTGCCAATGGCGGTTTCACAGCAAATCAAACGCTGTCCAGGGCCTCCAACCAGGTCTTTGCTTTTGGGATGCTTGGATCCGTCAATCTTAGAGAGTCACACTTGGCGAGTGCACGAACAACCTTCTCCGTCGAGCTTTCTCTGACCGCTTCATCCAGTTGCGTCAAGGCTTCGTTTCTCTCCTGGAGCAAGGATGCCAAAGAAAAAAGACTTGTCCTGCCTAAGTTTCATCTTCAATCTTTATTATAAACTGTTACGTGAGCTCTTCACACCTGCTCCAACAAGAAACACGTCTTCCAGTTCCAGTTCCAGCCAGCCCTTCCCATCCTTAATGAGTCTTTGCGCGTGTTGATGAAATTGCGGCGACACTTCAAGAGTGGCTGTCTCTGTCTCTGATTTCTTTCCTTCCAAGGCTTTTTCCAAGACTTCGAAGGCAGGATTCAACCGAGACATCTTGGTTGATGATACTGCGGCAGCTTGCTTGGAATTCAGCGCACCGAATTTCTGGACAAATGTTTGGGCGTCCTCCCTGTTGCCTGTTTCCTCGAACTTGTGAAGCGCCTTTTCTGCCTCATCTACCCTGTCTGCCGTTGATCTCACTTCTATCTCTTTCCTTACAGCTTCCACCTTCTTTCGTGTCACATCTGCCGGCCTGGGATCAACGCCCAATGCTTTCTCCAAAGCAGTCTCCAGATCTGCAGCTTGGTTTGTTGACTCCACCACATGGATCAGGTTCTTCAGCTCAGGAGATTGCGTCGTAGCTTGGACAAACCATTCTTGAAGACTTAGCGCCCACCTTCTTATGTTGTCGAGTTCGTTGCGCATACTGCTTTTTTCGTCCTCTTCGCCTCTGTCATACAAAGTGTCCACAAAGTAGAAAGGAAGCCTCCGGGCTTTGTCTTCCGCCAAGCCAACTCCACAATCATCGCCTGTGGCATCTTTGGGACGCGGTTTCTGGAGGACACCACGAAACTCTTCTTCAAATTGTGCAGTTGACTGAAGACCTCCTTCTGCACGCTTCTTCCTTGATCTTGAATCCTGGGGCCACCTGTTCACAACCACGGTGGCGTGGACCCACATGTCAGTCCCAAAAATCGATTGGAAGAATTCGAGGTTGTTCCGAAGGCCGCGCGAGATACGAGTATCGTTCTTGAGGAGAATCACAATTCCATGAATGTACCGAAGGCCATTGACCCACTTGGCCACCTCGGCCATGTGATCGTCGTCTTTCTTCTTGCCTCTGCTATCTTCCAAACCAGGTGTGTCCATGAGAAGGAGTGGGACGGGGTCCTCTCCGTCTTGGCCAAAGGCATAGCACTTGCGCAACTGGGGCTGGTCGGTCTCTGAGCTGGCTTTGTGGCCAAGCTTAAAGTTGGACTCCCACTCCCACAATGGCATGCCCTTGTCGTCAACGCCCTTCTTCAACTTCTGCAGAGAGCCATCCAACAAACCGCAGAAAGTGCTTTTCCCAGCTCCTGTGTCGCCTATGATCACCAAGCGCTTGGACTTCTCATCAAGTTCCACATAGTCGGTGAGCTTTGCAAACAGCTCGGCGGCCTGAGGGTCTTCCTCAAGAAGATCGAGCAGCTTTCTCTTTCGAAGCTTTGCATCCTTTTGGATCTCCTGCGCAGTCAGTGCAAACATACGCAAACATGATATGCAGTGACAGTGCAAACATATGGCGATGCTACTGTACACATCCAGCTACGTCTGCATGGATGGATAGTTTGGCGCTCCTAAGTATGGAAAGCCTGCAAGCAGTTGCGCACGTCAATGAAACAAAAATCCAAGTTAAGTTACTAATGGGATGGCCGATGGACTTGCGTGTTTTGCTGTCTATAACAACTCATACATTGACACACGGTGCTTAGGAGCAATGCCAGGGTAAGGAAGGGTGCGGCTAGTCCACACTTGGAGCTCTGCCAGGCTCTGCCACAGCTGCTATTTAACCATGTTTTCACAGGGACACAGGACACCCCTTGTTCGCTCCCTTCCATCACTTTTTCCGGCCTCTTCCGCCAACTTTCCTGGGCTTCAAAACATTGTTGTGAAAAGCCGGGTAACAGTTCTCAACATTGATGTGCTATGTTTGTGAAACAACTTTCAAACAATAACGAAACAAAAAACACAGCCGCGACCAAACGTCGGATGTGCTCTTCGAACTGCTCCACCTTCATCCATGAAAACCTGATTTTCACGGCTGGTAACTTCGATTCCTTCATAGCCTTTTCGATAGCTTCAATCAGCATGGGTTGATTCCCAACCTCTTTGTGGCAATGCTTGCCACCTGCGATGCAAAAGAGCTCGGCATTTTTGCATTTCCTTGTCTGTAGGGCGGTAGTAGCAGAAGCCACAACTCGAGATTGCCACTTGCCAAACCATTCATCACCATCTAGGTCATCAACATAGTCACCCTTTCTGCCAAAAGCCTGAACAATGTCCAGCTCCATGCAAATCTTTTGGACCTTGTCATAGTGCGCCTCCGGGCAAGACACGACGACTCGGGCTTCACCACCATCTTGACCAAGCGATACCTGCAAGACAGGGGAACAAATATTGCTATTCATTTTGGCACCAAACCCTTGAGCTGATCTTGAATATTCAAAGCTTGTTAAGCTTTCTGATGTCAAACAATTGACATCGGCATGCAGTATCCAACCAGGGAAGTTATTATGTATAGTCTATAGTCTTTATGAGAAGACAGCCGGCGCAAAAACATTCAGAATTCTTTCGCGCTGGCTCGAAAGCAAATTGGAGTCTGAGCCACCTGGTGCAGATCCTTGTTCATGGCAGGCGGCGAGGTGGACAATGTTGACAAAGATGCCTTCACAATGTCTCTCGGTGACAAAATCAACCCGAAAAATGACCATACAATGAACAGCTCACCAACAAAGGTCGGCTCAGCATGTTCGATCCTGGGAAACATCATGCGCCTAAATGGTCAACTCACAACAAAATAAGGCTTTGCTAAGAATGCGAGACAAGGCAGTGCTGAACAGCCTAGATAAAAATTTGTTACGAAACAGTCCAGCTGCGATCACTTTCACACGCAACTCATGTAGCAACTAACAAACATTGAATTGTGAGCCGAACCTTTCGATCCACAGATGGTGAGAATCTGAGATCCGGAAGGCAAATGGTTGTTATTGTGACTTGGCTTCAGAATGCTGCCAAACTGCCAAATCAGAAACGTCATTGACCTGCTTGGTTGAAGATGGCGTCAACCCATCCGAAGCAGCAGGAGCAGCGGGCTGTTTCCCACCAGCGCTGTGAAAAGAGCCGCCTGGCCCAACCTTGGCAAAGCTCAGCTGCTATGCACACATGACGGAAGTGCAAGGGTATTTTACTTCAAATCAAAGAAAACCAAACTGATGAATCTAGAGCTCACAAAGAATGCTACCAACAGAAGCAGCACATGTGGTGCCTTGTCCAAAGCCTTTGTCAGGGTTGGGCAACAAAAACAACATCAACATTTCCTGAAACACCTTGCTAAGGTCAGAACCTCCTTCGGCGATCCCTCACTCGTGCATGAGTCCAGCGTTCGTGGAGAGTCCCACGGGCCACGCTCCATATCTGCAGTTGAGCTGTCAGAGCCTTCCTTTGCCTTCTCACTTGGAGCCCTTTCCTGCAAATCGAGGTCTGGGACCAGCTCTGTTCTACATTCTCAAACCACCTTCTATCCAGGTAAGTGAGTTTGGTCAGCGCCGAAAATGGTGGACGACCCCTGAGTTGCAAGACCCGAGACTCTACCTCTTGGCCCTGCTCTTCTTTTGCGTGGCAGTATAATGTGTGAAGCGACGGCATTGAAACAAAGCAATGTGCACCTTCACTTGCACGAAATCTTAGTCTCAAGATGTCTCAAGTCAGGCTTCCTAATTTGTTTATTCAAATCCAACAACGTTTGTTGGAATTGTTCGGTTCAATCTGCAACTACCGGTGCGGCTTGTACGTGTCATGTATGGAGTGCCTGCAAGGTGTGAAGGCGGCGCTGACGCAGAGACAGAAATGCATGAACGAAATACCAAACTGCGTTCGACTCGCATACCTTTATATCATCGTCACCAAATGCGACGACTCAAAGGTTTGTCGTCTGCACCTTCAACATGCCCTTTTTCCAGCTTGCGGGAGGTGTTCTTTAGCTTCCGATTTGTGAGATGCTACTATTGCTTGAGGGACGTGTGCGCTCTTGCTCTCTTGGTTCGGCTGCCATGCACCACTGGGATTCGCTGTGGAAGCATTACTCCCCAGATGCACGACGACCCCCATGCAGGTTGTGAATGGCTTGCCGGCATAGACCGGGCAAAAAGTTATGTCGAGTAAACAAGGTTGAAACATTGGGTTAGATGTGATGTGGTAGTGAAGCCCGTATAAGGTGAAGCCGATCTATGGCTAGTCTGAAATGTAGGGTTGTCCAGACGTCTGTAAGTAGTTGGCGGGTTAGTTGTGGCCGAAGATAGATGTCGGTGTGTGTTTTTTGCAGGCCTGAAAGCCGACAATTTCAAATGCAGGTCTTTCCGTCATAGAATTATATGTATCGAACTTACTTAATGAAATTAAATTCAGTGGAACTCTTCTAGGCAAACAGCTGGCAAGCGCGTATAGTATAGCTGTTAAGGTCAACATCATGTGAAACCACCATGCCAGTAAACTTACAATAGAATGGTCCCTCGACAATCCTGGTTGGCAAATTAAATAATACATGGAAAGAACAACATGTGGTACTCACGTTTGTGGTCTTTACACAGCTCCTTTTGCCAACTATACATAAGCAAGTGTTGCTAGTCAAAATTCAAGATATCGAAAGTTTCTGTTTGCATAGCAGCGCACGAGTCCTTTTTGGCCAATCCACACTCTAACATGAGTAGCCATTGCCAGCTCATTAACATTTTATACAATATATTTCATTCTGATCGTATTCATAATTCGATGAAATTTGACATGTTCCATGGACACAGGCTGATAATGCGTTGATGGGTGCAACCAAAATCGCTAGCGTTCGGCGATCGGTGTGGCCATGCAAAGATAAGGCTGATTTATATAAGTATCTACTATACAAGTAACCCAACAGCGGTTCAACAGCGCCTCGCAACATTTTAAGCGACGAACTTCCTGTGTCCAAAGGTTAAACATGGCTGAAACCTGCCTGCGCTGCTTCTTCTAGTTGTTTCACCTTGTCTGCCAGCTCTGTGCTCAACAGTGCCTTCCAGCAACGTTTGGTTCCAGATTGTTTTCATCTCTGTTGGAGCTGGAATCGTTATAGGCTGCGGCTGAAGTTGTAAACGATATGAGAAAGATCAAATGACTTGACTGCGAGAAATGGTTGTTCTAAACAATACATCGACACCCTCTTTGATGTTATGCAAGCAGCCGACAATGTGGACACGCGGTGGCTCACAGCCACTGGGTGGATTTGATTGAATAAGATCATGGGCTGTTCGCCTATAGAAAGGAATCGCCAAAAAGAAGCCCGAAGCAATGCGCGGCACGACAATTGCACACCAAGGACGGGAAGTGATGAAGCTCAACCACTGAGATAAGCCAGCCACCAGCCCAAATGCCCAGACTGCCGAGGAACGAGGAGCTCAGCTTTCAATCACAGACCACAGCGTGAGGCCCTCAGGCCATACAAGTACCTTGCCTGGTGGAGGCAAACATTCGATGAGAAACAATACACAGTCACAAAGTCATCCACTATCAAAAAGGCCTGACAGAATAGAAGATGCGAACCTGAATACAGGACAAAACAAGGACCCAAGAACAAATATGGACAAACAACGTAGAGGAACGGGACTAGGAACGAGGGGAAGCAGGAATCCAAATCCCCCTTTGCTCGCTCAAGGACCTTTATGGATTTTGGAAATGTGGAGCAGGAGACAATCCGGTCGCTGGTGATTCAGCTAGAGGCCTACCATGAGCCCAAGTTAGAGCGCCGTCCCCAACCCACATGACATGCATGCCACAGCTGCTCTCCTCAGACTGCAAAGAAAGCTTAAGTATGCACATGGTATGAGGATATTGAGACGGCGCGCACTCCAGTTTCTTTCACAGCTTTGCCTTCTCTTGCGCAGCTGCTTCCGCAAGCCTTTGTGCTTCCTCCAACTTTGCCATCTCTTCCTCTGCACGCTTCTCGGACTGTTGTGCTTCCGTCAACTCCTTAGCTGGGCAGGAAGCATCTTCTGTAGGCTCGGCAAAATCGCAAACATGATCTGTCGTACGTGATCCCTCAACTTCTGTGCTCTACAAGCATGCCAGCCAGACAAACATAAGATAAGTGGAGAACTCTCATGCGAATTGAAAGGTTGAATATGGCTGAAGCCTGCCTGAGCTGCTTTTTGTAGGCGTTTCTCCTTTTCTTCGAGTGCTGTTCGCAGCACGGCCTTCAAGGAACGCTTGAAGGGTGTTTGGGTTGTGAAATCAGTCTTCTTTTAACATCTTTCTATTTGGTCACTCATTGTTTTTCCTCCTGGCCATGGGTGGCCTTGCAAGGAACACAAATGTCTTGAGGGTGGTCCTTACTGTCCTTGCATTTAGAAGACGCTAGGTCTGTTATTTGTACCGGAACGTGGTCGTGCTCAATCAAATGGTTGTCCGAGAGGTTTGGAATGATAGACGGACACCTCAAAACAGAAAATGCACACGCTCGCTCTCAATCCAAACACTAGGGAAATTCATTTCCAGGTTTGTTGGAGGGATGGTCGAACACTCAATTGTTTGAGGTGATTCGGAACTAAGGTACTCCAATGCGTGAAAATGTTGAAGATCGAAACGGCAGGAGTATGCATATAGTTTAGTTTGTTGGGAAGCATCGCACACCCACATCGTTTGCGACGCTTGTCCTTAGGGCCTTAGGGACTAGGCTTCAACGGGTTCAAGGCTCAAATTCAGACAGCATCCTTTCTTAGATCCAATTAACATCGACTAACCGTGAAAACCACATGCCATCTCATGGCATAGTTGGATGAAAAGCTTGACCCACCAGCCGCTAAGGTTGTTGTGGGGTTGTGCCATCTACAAACTGTTCAGCAGTTGGTGTTTGTGGGTCAAAACATCGAGGTTTCTTACAAGGTGGCACAGCGAGCATTCCGGCTAGAGGCCTACCCTCACTAAGCATGAGCGCAAACCACATGAGGTACATTTGCCACAGCACTGTTCTCCCCAGACTGCACAGAAAACTTGACTTAAGTATGCATAAGTATGCACATGGTATGAGGATATTGAGACGGCGCGCACTCCAGTTTCTTTCACAGCTTTGCCTTCTCTTGCGCAGCTGCTTCCGCAAGCCTTTGTGCTTCCTCCAACTTTGCCATCTCTTGCTCTGCACGCTTCCCGGACTGTTGAGCTTCCGTCAACTCCTCAGCCGGGCAGGAGGCATCTTCTGTAGGCTCGGCAAAATCGCAAAACTGATCTGTCGTACGTGATCCCTCAACTTCTGTGCTCTACAAGCATGCCAGCCAGACAAACATAAGATAAGTGGAGAACTCTCATGCGAATTGAAAGGTTGAATATGGCTGAAGCCTGCCTGAGCTGCTTTTTGTAGGCGTTTCTCCTTTTCTTCGAGTGCTGTTCGCAGCACGGCCTTCAAGGAACGCTTGAAGGGTGTTTGGGTTGTGAAACCAGTCTTCTTTTTAACATCTTTCTATTTGGTCACTCATTGTTTTTCCTCCTGGCCATGGATGGCCTTGCAAGGAACAAACATGTCTTGAGGGTGGTCCTTACTGTCCTTGCATTTAGAAGACGCTAGGTTTTTTATTTGTACCGGAACGTGGTCGTGCTCAATCAAATGGTTGTCCGAGAGGTTTGGAATGATAGACGGACACCTCAAAACAGAAAATGCACACGCTCGCTCTCAATCCAAACACTAGGGGGGTTCATTTCCAGGTTTGTTGGAGGGATGGTCGAACACTCAAATGTTTGAGGTGATTCCGAACTAAGGTATTCCAATGCGTGAACATGTTGAAGAACGAAACGGCAGGTGCAAGCATATAGTTTAGTTTGTTGGGAAGCATCGCACACCCACATCGTTTGCGACGCTTGTCCTTAGGGCCTTAGGGACTAGGCTTCAACGGGTTAAGAGCTCAAATTCAGACAGCATCCTTTCTTAGATCCAATTAACATCGACTAACCGTGAAAACCACATTCCATCTCATGGCATAGTTGGATGAAAAGCTTGACCCACCAGCCGGGTAAGGTTGTTGTGGGGTTGTGCCATCTACAAACTGTTCAACAGTTGGTGTTTGTGGGTCAAAACATCAAGGTTTCTTACAAGGTGGCACAGAGAACATTCCGGCTAGAGGCCTACCCTCACTAAGCATGAGCGCAAACCACATGAGGTACATTTGCCACAGCACTGTTCTCCCCAGACTGCACAGAAAACTTGACTTAAGTATGCATAAGTATGCACATGGTATGAGGATATTGAGACGGCGCGCACTCCAGTTTCTTTCACAGCTTTGCCTTCTCTTGTGCAGCTGCTTCCGCAAGCCTTTGTGCTTCCTCCAACTTTGCCATCTCTTGCTCTGCACGCTTCTCGGACTGTTGTGCTTCCGTCAACTCCTTAGCTGGGCAGGAAGCATCTTCTGTGGACTTGGCAAAAACGCAAAAATGATCTATCGTACGTGATCCCTCAACTTCTGTGCTCTAGAAGCATGCCAGCCAGACAAACATAAGATAAGTGGAGAACTCTCATGCGAATTGAAAGGTTGAATATGGCTGAAGCCTGCCTGAGCTGCTTTTTGTAGGCGTTTCTCCTTTTCTTCGAGTGCTGTGCGCAGCACGGCCTTCAAGGAACGCTTGAAGGGTGTTTGGGTTGTGAAATCAGTCTTCTTTTAACATCTTTCTATTTGGTCACTCTTTGTTTTTCCTCCTGGCCATGGGTGGCCTTGCAAGCAACAAACATGTCTTGAGGGTGGTCCTTACTGTCCTTGCATTTAGAAGACGCTAGGTCTGTTATTTGTACCGGAACGTGGTCGTGCTCAATCAAATGGTTGTCCGAGAGGTTTGGAATGATAGACGGACACCTCAAAACAGAAAATGCACACGCTCGCTCTCAATCCAAACACTAGGGAAATTCATTTCCGGGTTTGTTGGAGGGATGGTCGAACACTCAAATGTTTGAGGTGATTCCGAACTAAGGTACTCCAATGCGTGAAAATGTTGAAGAACGAAACGGTAGGTGTATGCATATAGTTTAGTTTGTTGGGAAACATCGCACACCCACATCTGTTGTGATGCTTGTCATAAGGGACTAGGTTTCAACGGGTTGAAAGCTCGAATTCAGACTATAAATATATATATATATCCTTTCTTAGATCCAGTTGTATACAGTAACATCGATTAACCGAATTCCATCTCATGGCATGTTTGGATGAAAAGCTTGACCCACCAGCCGGGTAAGGGTGTTGAAACCTCACATGGGGTTGTGCTATCTACAAACTGTTAAATACTTGGTGTTTGTGGGTCAAAACATCAAAGCTTCTTACAAGGTGGCACAGCAAAAATTCCGGCTAGAGGCCTAACCCTCACTAAGGATGAGCCCAAGCTAGAGCGCCGTTCCCAGACCGCATGAGGTACATTTGACACAGCACTGTTCTCCCCAGACTGCACAGAAAACTTGACTTAAGTATGCACATTAAGTATGCACATAATATGAGGATGTTCAGACTGCACGCACTCCAGTTTCTTTCACAGCTTTGCCTTCTCTTGCTCTGCACGCTTCTCGGACTGTTGTGCTTCCGTCAACTCCTGAGCCGGGCAGGAAGCATCTTCTGTCAGCTCTGCAAAATCGCAAAAATTATCTGTCGTACGTGATCCCTCAACTTCAGTGCGCTACAAGCATGCCAACAAGCAAACATAAGATAAGTGGAAAACTCTCATGCGAATTGAGAGGTTGAATATGGCTGAAGCCTGCCTGAGCTGCTTTTTGTAGCCGTTTCTCCTTTTCTTCGAGTGCTGTGCGCAACACGGCCTTCAAGGAACGCTTGAAGGGTGTTTGATTGTGAAATTTGTCTTCAACATCTTTCTATATTTGGTCACTCATTGTTTTTCATCCTGGCCATGGGCGGGCGGCCAATGCTAGGTTTTGAATGAATGACGGACACCTCGAAACAGAAAATGCACACGCCTGCTTTCAATCCATATCACTAGGGAAATTCATTTCAAGGTTTGTTGCAGGCATGGCCGAACACTCAAATTTTTGAGGTGAGTCCGAACCAGGCTACTTCAATGCGTGAACATGTCGAAGATCGAAACGGCAGATGTAAGCGTATAGTTTAGTTTGCTGAGTAGCATCGCACACTCACATCTTTTAGGGAGTAGTTTTTTTTCAACAGGTTGAAAGTTCAAATTCAGACAATATATATCAATTCTTAGATCCAATTAATATCGATTAGTCACATGCCATCTTATGGCATTGTTGGATGAACAGCTTGACCCACCAGCCGAGTAAGGTTGTTGAAACCTCTGCAAGGGGTTGTGCCATCTACAAACTGTTAAATAGTTGGTGCTTGCGGGTCAAAACATCAAGGTTTCTTACAAGGTGGCACAACAAACATTCCGGCTACTGGCCTACCCTCACTAAGAATGAGCCCAAGCTAGAGCGCCGTTCCCAAACCACATGAGGTACTTTTGCCACAGCTGTTATCCTCAGACTGCAAAGAAAGCTTGAGTATTCACATGATATGAGGATATTCAGACTGCACACACACTCCAGTTTCTTTCACAGCCTTGCCTTCTCTTTCGCAGCTGCTTCCGCAAGCCTTTGTGCTGCCTCAGATTGAGCAAAAACCTGTTGTGCTTCCGGCAACTCCTCAGCCGGGCAGCAAGCATCTTCTGTCGGCTCTGCAAAATCGCAAAAATGATCTGGATCCCTCAACTTCTGCGCCCTACAAACATGCCAACAAGCAAAAATAAGATAAGTGGAACTCTCATGCAAATTGAAAGGTTGAATATGGCTAAAGATTGCCTGAGCTGCTTTTTGTAGACGTTCCTCCTTTTCTGCAAGCTCTGTGCGCAACATGGCCTTCAAGCAACACTGTGTCCGGAACTCCCTAGTTTCGTGAAAATCATCCTGTTATAATTATAGGTTGAGGAATGGGCAGGCTGAACTGGTATTCACATTATTCACTATACATGTTTGTTCACTTGCTCGCTGGAAACGGGAAGAAAACAATGCCCTGCACGATACGCGACAGGTAACGGATAGCGAAGCTGCTCATCACAAATTTGTTGGATTTGATCCGAGGAGGCATTGTGGAAATGGGCTGTGTGGTTTGAAGGGTCCCAAGGGAGTTTCCTGGACTTGCTTGAACATAGAGTGAATGAAATGGTGGGTCCTCCACAGTCAGTAAAAGCAGGTAATGTTGTGTACTAGTACTTTTCCTCATCACGCACAAACAATGTTTCCTGTATCATCACAGTGTCTTCCCCAGCTTTGCCTTTTCTTGCGCAGCTGCTTCTGCAAAGCTTTCTGCTTCCTCTAATTTCGCAGTCTCGTTCTTCCAGCACCATTCCTTCTGCAGGAACTGCTGCGCCTGGTGGTCTGCACTCCTTTCTGACTCACCACTTCTACAAAGAAACCAGAACAGGGGAGCCCGCTCTTGCGAACCGAAACCTGCAAACAATCTCTATCCAGGCATCTTTTCGTGTCTATATCGCCTGCCTGAGCTTCTTGTAGCTGCCTCACTTTTTCTGCCAGCTCTGTGCGCAACACGGCCTTCAAGCAAACAAGTTGGAAAGTGTCAGGTGGTCCCTACCATACGTTGGGGAAGGGAGCAGTCGGCTCAACGTGTAGTCACTCCAAGAAATTACAAAATATTCTTGCTTGCGTAAAAGAGAAGAGACGATGATGAGTTGCAGACAACAAACAGCAGCAAACAGCGCAGTTGTTCATAATCACCAGGGTTGAGAGGACTTGATTTGATGAGATCACTGAAAAATGGTCGGGTTGGAATGGTCGACAAAGATCGACCCGACGTCGTGGAACATATATCCTGAATGACTCACTATCGACGGCAGAATGGAGCAATGTACGAAGGATTCCTAAGTATTTCTCCCACCACCCGCAAACAATGTATCATCATGTATCGTCACGACCCTTGGGCACAACACCATGTGGGGGGTCATCATTCACCTGCACATGCAGACAGTGTCGTTTGCCAATTTGCCTTCTCTTGCGCAGCTGCTTCTGCAAGCTCAGCCATGTGGGGAGCATCGGAAGTCAAGTGCGTCATCTGCTCCCGCAACTTTGTCACTTCCCGCTTGCCCTGCGAACGAACCATACCCGGCCGGTTCACAAGGCAATAGAATATGGGTAGAAAGCTCTCGAAATGACACAATGTCTACAACAAATACAGAACAGGGGAGCCCGCTCTTGCGAACCGAAACCTGCAAACAATCTCTATCCAGGCATCTTTTCGTGTCTATATCGACTGCCTGAGCTTCTTGTAGCTGCCTCACTTTTTCTGCCAGCTCTGTGCGCAACACGACCTTCAAGCAACAGTTGAAAAGTCTCTGCGGTTTGGGAATGGAATCAGCCAGTATGCTTGAACATCTTGAACATGGTTGTGAATCAAATGGTGGGTTATCAACAGTGGGATCAGAACCTTCACCAAAAACATGTTTTAGGCATGGCCAGACTGCATTAGAGGATATAGTGTCTTCCGCAGCCTTGCCTTCTCTTGTGCAGCTGCTTCTGCAAACTCTTCTGCTTTCTCTAATTTCGCAGTCTCGTTCTTCCAGCACCATTCCTTCTGCAGAAACTGCTGCGCCTGCTGGTCTGCGCTCCTTTCTGACTCAGCAAGAGCTTCCTGCGCTTCCTTCAAGTCTGCGGCCGAGCGAGAGGCATTCCCTGCCAAGTCAGAACAATGGGACGCGAGGTGCATCATCTGCTCCCTCAACTTCGCCACTTCCTGCTCCTCCTGGGGAAAACTGATGCGCAAATGAAACTGTATCCTGTGGCTACAAAAAACTTGAAACCTGCCTGAGCACGTTCTTGTAGCTGTCTTACTTTCTCTGCAAGCTCCATGCGCAACACGTCCTTCAATCAACAGTTGAAGAATGTCTTGTGCTCCTTCTCATGGTGGAAATTCCTGTTCTTAGGGGCTCGAATCTGCCTGTGCCAACGTATGAAAGTATATGTCCTTGCTTGAAACGAAAAAGCATAAGCCCTATGTGATGCGTTGCAAGCAACAAACAAGAATAGAACGAGGCAGTGGTTGGAATGGTAGCCAGGGATCACCCAAAGGAAAATAGCCAGACTGCACAAAACAATCCATGAATTAGTGATTTCCTCGGCCTTGCCTTCTCTTGTGCAGCTGCTTCTGCAAAGCTTTCTGCTTCCTCTAATTTCGCAGTCTCATTCTTCCAGCACCATTCCTTCTGCAGGAACTGCTGCGCCTGCTGGTCTGCACTCCTTTCCGACTCTGCAAGAGCCTGCTGCGCTTCCTTCAGCTCCTCAGCTAGGCGGGAAGCATCTCCTGTGGCCTTGGCCAAGTCGGAAGTCAAGTGCATCATCTGCTCCCTCAACTTCGTCACTTCCGGCTTGTCCTGCGAGCAGCATGGTCAACACAAATTGCAACCCCAGCAATTGACGGTGCGGTTGGCGGACACTGACGCTACTGAGCATTGAATCACCATGAATCAGCACCAGTAGGACTGGGTAGATTTGAGGATACAACCAGCACTAATATGTACCAACTACTGTTGGCTCCGGCTGCGTGCATTCCAATGTCACCCAAAAGCAAATTCCACTCACGCAACCTTGTTCTGCCAGTGCTGTTCCTGCAGCCGGAACTGCTGCGCCTGCTGGTCTGCACTCCTTTCTGACTCAGCAAGAGCTTCCTGAACTTCTTTCAAGCCTTCGGCCAAGCGAGAGGCATCCCCTCTGGCCTTTGCCAACTCAGAGCAATGAGATGCGAGGTGCATCATCTGCTCCCTCAACTTCGCCACTTCTTGCTCCTTCTTGTGTGAAAACAATGGCACAAAGACTGGGCACCAAAAACTGCGTCCACTGAGGCAAAACAGCTGAACCCCACAGCAGAGTTCTCGCGTAGAAACAAACGTGCTTCTATCCTGGCACTTCTATCCTGTGGCAGAAACGCCGCTGGAACCTGCCTGGGCACCATCTTGGAGCTGCCGCACCTCTTCTGCAGGCTTTGTGCGAAACAGTGCCTCCAAGCGATGTTGGGGCAGGGGACAGGATCCATTTCGAGCATTGAATTGGGATCATTTGGACACTAAATCATCCCTCCGCAGGCAGAACACGACCTTGTTTTTGAAGGTTTCTTCGCTGCAGGAAGATATAAACCGACTTGTAGGTTACGCAGAAATGATTGGTCTGATGTTTGTAAGTCAAACGCTGAGGGCAATGGAGAACATGAGGAATTCAACCTCGTAAACATTGAGCAAGTCTCTTCATAAACGTGGTCCAGTCGAAAAGCAAATGGACAACGTGTGAACAAAGCAAATGTGAGGGCAAACGGCTAGGAAGCTACATGGGGCAGTCTGCATCCGGAAGCCGCAAAATGCTGGGCGCAGTCTGAATTGTTCCAAGTGCAAACAGATTTCGATGCACTAGCCGTTAGCCCTTTGTCTCGCTTAACCTAATGACCTCAAAACACCAATATCTATACCCAAAGTATGCAGGGAAGTGGTGAACATCTGGTCTCGGCAGGTACAATGATCTGTATGAAAACTGGCTGCCAGGACAGGGTCCAACATCTTGATCATGGACCAAATTCAGTGTACATCCCTGGCACAGACTGGAGACATATATATATATATATATATGATGTAGATTAAGAGTCTTCCGTGATGCGCCAGGTAAATACACTTCGAATGCCCATAATTGGACCACTGTGAGCACAAACTTCCATGGGGGTCAATCAATCCAGTCGCAGGTTTACTTGATAACAGGCCCATGCTCCACTACGTTGTCTTTGTCGCAGAAAAAGTGTCTCATTATGATGGTCCGCCCCAGGGTCTGGGAGTCAATCAGGCTGCATCCACACGGTCGGTTGCGCTTACCTATTTCCTGCTGACGAACAAAGGACGCGATGCACGAAACATCAGCTGCACCCAAACACACAACGACTAAACCGACACGATGAGAGAGGGAGATGGAGACCACAAACATGACGATAATGCCAATTAATGTAACAATGTAATGCGAACTTGTACAAAAAACTACAAAGGCATATCAAAACATGCATGCAAAGCCGGAAGTCCCACTGAAAGAAAAATGCAAAGCTGTCAGTGAGTCAGTCGGTGAGCAAAACCGACCAACTAAAAGCGAAACAGCGAAACCAGTGCAATGCACAAACCACAATAAACATATATGACTACGACTGTGAGCAAGAAAACCACCAACAGAAAAAAAAGGGAAACGCAAACAGCGTTTCAGCCCATGAGAAAAAGCTTAACTCACTGCAAAGTAATAAATAGTGATGAACAGTGAATCGTTCTAGGATGTTCTAGGAATAGGGCGAATAGGGATGACATCAAAACTGCAGGAGTGCCGAAGGGCTATCTGAAAAGCCCTCTGAAGAAAGTGAACTCTAAACGTCGCTTTCAACATCGGCAGTCACCACACAAACACCACAGCGCCCAGGTTGAAAGCTGCCGCACATGAAAGTGCTCCAAGCTGCTGGGGGTCATCTTCTCCCTCTAGGACAAAATAGCTTGAAAACAGGCATCACTCTACAAACACTGGCTGGAATGCGACAGTGTTACCCACTTGTGTTCATTCCAAGAGAATGACCCCACCAAATGAACTATCCTAGCAGCTGCACGTCTTGCGGAAAAGGGGTCTTTAGTCGAAACACTGCAAAACTGACCTGCTTTTTTTGCAGATCAAACATATATCTTTCTGTCAAAGGATTGAAATGATATAAAATGACTACAGTAAATGAACTCTGACTCTGAATACACGTTGCATCATGTTCCATCAACTGCACTCCGCCTTTGTCAACCCCAGTGGCCTTCTGGTTCTCCAAACGATTCTGGATGTCCAAGGCTTGCCGGGTGGCCCGAAGCTCTCCCAAGGTGCCTCGGGTTTATGGGCGCTGAGTGTGTCAGGCAATGGCGGGTGAGAGCACCGCAAGCTTCTCAGGTGGTTGGTTTCAGCACTCCGTTGATTCAGGTTGCAGGTTATGGATGAATGTGGCGTCGAAGGCTGCAGATTGTGATATGGATGGGATTCATTCCAGTTTTTGAAAGCAGCTCCATCGCCCTACGCCAGCACATCCGTTCAAGCGCCAAGGCACGCAAGGCGCGGCAATGCACCTGGCGGCTGCCAGACAAGCAAGTCGCAATGTGGTGGACCTTGCAACGGAAAAGCTTCGAAACATCTCAAGGCTTCCTTCAGCTTCTCACTCTTGCCGGAACCTATTTGGCCGCAAAACTGAGCCATGTCAAAGCTCAATCACCAACAAAAGAACCAAGAGATCCAACGTCAACGAGTGGTCTTTTGTTGGAACCTATCCGGCTATCATAGGCTATCAGGTAAGACTTTGCTATGAACCACAGTTGCAATTGTAGACCCAAGGAATCGATCGATGGACTTCTGTTCCCTCATCTACTCATCAAGAATCTCTCAGGCCTGGCCACATGCGACTTCTGCACTCAATCGGAAGAGCAAATCAATGAACCTTGCAAACCTACACACCGAGCAAGAGTCATGCTAAATTGAAGCCCCTTCGTTTTCTTTGGACCTTTTGATCTCTAGGTCGATGCCTGAGTCTCCCGACCACCAAATCCTTGCGGGATGGGCTGATCTTGGAGCCTCAGACGTTGCAAGCATGCCACTTCCACTGATACTCTTACCTGACAGCTGTCAGAATTTCACAAGGGGAAAAAGAACATGCCTTTGACACCATTGAAAACCAAGCACGTTGGACCTCTTGAACTGGGCACTTGTGGCCAACATCGGCTGTGCCTTCCCGCAGCATCCCGCAGCTAGTGCTGGGTTCAGTGGCACGCGATGCGCCTCGCGGAAATACTGGGCCGCCCGACCCAGCTTGGAGAAGGCTGACAAGGCCGCCATGACACAAGCATCCTCCCGCCGCTGCAGCATCAGGATCAAGGCCTGCGCAACCCCTGGCCCCGAGCGTCAAGGCACTATGCTAAACAAACAAGGAATCACGTAATCTGGTTCTCCAACTGACGAGCACTAGAAATGGTTCTAGAAAAGGTGCGTGGGGGTGAAGCTGTCTTGTGCAGCTCTGCTGATGCCTGGAATGCTCCACACGGCAAACATATTAGACCTTCTCGCAAAGCATAGCAGGTTGAACCTCCCTATCATCCCCCCTTGTCCAACTCCATCCCCATCCTCCTCGTATCGCCCCGCTGCATCCGCTGCTATTAGAAGCTCAGCTGCCGTGGAGGCCACATCCGGGTCCCGGTCCCTGGAGCTCCGGGGGTGGACAATCTGTGAAGAATGGTTTTTGGACGATGATTTTGGAGGTTCCAGAAGTCACAACTTGGATGTATATACACGTACAATGTATATATATATATAATAATATATACAAACTATTTACTATGTATATATATATATGTATGTATGTGACCTAATACACTCCTTCAAACAAATCATCATGGAAGTGGAGCTCACCACCTGTTTGGTAAAAGGGTCATCCATTTGTAAGCCAGCCCATGGACGTAGCCGTGATGATTTCAGGGAGTGTACATCTCAGATGCCAGGTTTTCTCGGTGTAGAGTAAACGGTTTATCTTGGAACATGATGCAGGGGGAGCTTCTCAGCAGGTGCACAATGCAAACAGCATAAAACACACATTGAATACTACTTTGGCTTTGCCAAACTGTACTGTATTAGTGAGTCCGCTGAGTGTGAGCTTCCTATAAAGAAATAACTCGATGAGATCTATATACATCACCCTTTCTTCTCGCCTCAGCAAGCGGCCAATGCGATCCACAACCTCCAGCGGATTCAGCTTCCGAGTGCCCCGGTGCCCCGTGAGTCTGGGTTACATTCAAGATCTAAGAGACCACAAATGCTCACCAAGGCTGACTAGATGAAGGAGCCACTTTGAAGGCTGATGACTCATGCCAAATAGCTAAGGCATACTAAGGCTGTTTGTGGCTGTTTGTTTGATCTGTGTTTGCCAGCTTCAACCCAACTTCACATGCATGCTTGCACCTTTGTCTTAAGCGGTTGACATACACACAAGGCCCAAAGCCTAAAGCTGAAGCTTGAAGTGCTATCTGTGCCCTGAATGCTTGATGGACCATCAAATGCAACGCTTGACCCACGGCCTGGAGTGATCCAATGGTAGCTTTGCCAGCCGAGATCAGAGCTCTCAACACTGGCAGCACTTCTTCCTGCATGCGAAGGGAGAGCGCTTTGTGACACTTGCCATGGGCTGAATGTTGTTTTGCCTGCAACTCATTTGGCTGACTTTTGGAATTGTCGCAGCAAACATTGTTGGCACCTTCTTGCCACTGCTCAGCACTGCGGCAATCTTGTCATGGTCAAAACCTAGGCACGTCTCAATGCAAACATGTGATCCTCATAAGACTTGGAGGGAACGGAAGAACTATCCAGTTGCCAAGCTGCCATGTCTGCCAAAGTGCTGAGAGGCCTGCAACGGCACATGACAGGCTATCCACCAAAGGACGAGCTTTAACCCGACAAGATTCTTCCACCAGGAGACAATGGCAAACAACACCTCATGCCAAGGTTACTTCCGCAAATCTTGATGTGATAGCAGTACAGTGCATCCAAACCGGCAAAGACATGCGCACCGAGTTCAATTGTGCAACAAATAGGTCTAGCAGGTTGAGCACAGCAGTTCTTCATCTGTCATTTCCCAACAATGCTTCTTGATTTTGGCAAGAAGGCATCTCGTCTTGCACAAACTTCTTGAAGAAACAGGCCCTAGTGATCTGAGACCTTCTCCACCCGACAAAAACCATGAAGTCGCCCGGGCACCTTCATGTGCGCCGCCTTCAAAGAGGTGAGAAGACAGTGAAGGCAGCTCCTGAGAGCAAACAAACATGGAAATGCGTAACAGCAAGCCACAATGCACGTGTCCCAATATGCAATCAGTTCATATGTCCCAGTGCCGAGGTGCTGTCTGCCAAAGAGCTGTGCAGCCTGCAATTGCAACGGGCGATGGGCTTGTATTAGACTTAGGATAGCAACCAACCCTTCGATTATCCCAGTACATTCCAAAGCACCAGGATTGGCCCGGAAGGTTAATCCCAAACTGACACGATTTGCTTCAGGTGCTTCAAGAAACTCAACCTGTCCGTCTAATGCAGCCTATGCAAACTCAGTCTGAGGTAAATTCCAAGATTTGGCTTGGATGGAGGAATTCTTCGTAAGTGCGCCTTGCTCATTCTCATGCATGCTGCCCAACACTTATTCTTTGATCCGATTTCTCCCCGTAAGTCCTGTCACTTTCCGAGCAACGTGGCAATTCCTTGATTGAAAGTTGTACGTACGCATGAACTTCCACCGGCATATGGTGCATATGCATATTCCCCCAAAGCCCAAACACTCCACAAGCAGCAGCCGAGTTGGTCGAGAGCAGCAGCAGCTTGACAGCTTCAACCCATGCTTACGTCGGATTGAAGGGTATCTGGCATTCCTACTCGATTAAAAAGAAAAACACACTTCTGTATCCACTTCGGCGAATGGACGACAAAACAAAGGCATGTTGAATCCACCACCACTGTGTGAAACTATGAAGATCCTGTGAGTACCTGGAAATGATGTGACTTACCCGATCCTCAACACCGAACATCCCTCGGAACTTTAACTTTGGGAACTGGTTTGGGTCGATCTGTCAGCACATCGAGCTTCGTGAATCCAGTGACTGCTTGCTGCCAAAGCGCTCCCTCCCCTTCAGGGAAAAATGCTGCTTTCGAGCCCGTTGGCTTATGTGGAAGAAGAACTCACGTGTTCTGAAATTCAATTGCTTTCAAACTCATGCGACATGAACGCACAGAAACTGCAAGGTGTCACACCATCCTCGTACTTCGACCAATATGAGCTGCTTTTTTTAAGTTATTGTCAGAAAGCCGAAATCAAACATCCTGCTTGGTGAATTGGTGAGCTGTATTCCCTCGAGCTGCTGATCACCCAAGCATCACAACACAAAAAGCCATGTGTACCAGAAGTTCAAAAAGAATCCCAGCATACAGGCATACACAGGACAGGTTTTACAGTTGCATTTACGAGGCATTCTGAAGGGGCCCCGCAAATATCTCTTTCGAGAAGTTTCCCGCATTCGCATTTTGGAGTGCTGTCTGTTATAGCACAGAATTTGATGGTACAAAATTACAAAATGGAGCTTTCCGATGAGGCTGGTGGGACTACTTTCAAAGGTATATGGCAAATCTTGTCACTAGTCCAACTTTTTCAGAAAGGTATCAAATTGAATATTTTCATGACGAGCTGTTCAAGAAGGCAACAGGCTTCGTCGTTTTCACACGTATTCTACCCCAAACCACAGCACATGGGGTGCCAAGGGCAGGGATGTGGGGGGGGGTTGGCTGGAGCTGCAAAGCAAGCTAGAGAAAGGGAACCGAGTGAATGGGACGGGACGCACGGGCGGATTGACTTGGAAGAGACAAACGCTCTAGAGAGAAACAGTGCCAGACTATGTACCTGTGACATCTCTCATGAAACAGTGCACAAAAGTGCACCATACACAAAAAAATCCGACTTCTATGAGAGCCTTGAATGGAACTGATTGACAGGAAATACATGGAAATCCTGGGTCTGATCTTGAAAGAATTGAAGGCAAACGGAATCTAACTACAAATTTCTCAACTGAAAGCCAAAGCCTTTAACGTAGTAGGGGTGCCTTGGCCACAGCTAAGCTATTCTACCACACTTGCAGTAAGATCCCTGGGACGGTTACGTGGCACTGCTTGGAACTATTGTATCCAAAAGCAGGACAACTGAAAGTGTATGGAACGAACCCGCATGAGCACTACCAAAATGTTCCAATGATATTGTTGTTTTTCAGTCTTGTAGGTGCCTTTCGTTGCAGATGTTAACTTCTTCTGTCGCTGGCATCTTTGCAAAAGAAACAAAACATGCACAGCAAAAGGCCTCAAACAAATGGTTTACAGGCTTCCGGCTGGAGCGGCCTTTTGTTTGCCAGAAAATTGGTGAAACAACACAACATGCTTGATAACCAGCAGCCAAGCAGAATTACTTCTGGCAATTCAGCCTACCAGGTCTTTAGTAGAAAGAGTTAAAGCGTCAAGCGAGAGATGGGAATCAAGAAGGCATCAGGAATCGAAGCAGCTTGAAACAAACAAAACCAGGAAAGACTGCTGCAACATGTCAGACTTGTAAACGCAACATGCCATGCCTTGGATAAGCTGTCAATTAGAGTCTTGCTGAGAACTGCTTCTGTGCAGCTGGAGATTCCCTGCCAACCTCAGAACTTTGTTGAGATTGTACCAAGTCAAAAGTCGAAGTAGCTTTTGTCATGAGCTTCTAGGTGACTCGTGCGAATTGGAACCATGATCTGCCCGACGCGGTCTTCAACAAACCGCTGATTTTCCAGTTTTTTCGAAACATGTTTCTACGCGTGTCAACCACATCAACCCCCTTTCTGAACAAAAAAGACGCTGAACACCTTTAACGACATCAATCTTTAACCACGTCTCAACGCCGTTTTTGCTGTGGACGCATTTAGCTTGCTCACAATCGTTGCACCGGCAGGCCTCATGCCTCGGTGAGCTACTTGTGGTGAGCTACTTTGCATAGCCACGTCTTTCCGGGCACAAAACACTCGCTAGGAATTTCATGACACCCGGTGCAAACAGCCAAAAAGGGTGATCAGTCCATGAGGGCACTGGTGTGCGCCAAAGATTGTAAGACCAGCTGTAAATAACGTGGCGGCTGCAACCAGGAAGATCACTCCAACATATATCCCTCGATGGCACCAAAGGCTCAAACCTGCTTCCAGCTTGGGAACTGCCTCCTTAGGGATATCCGGATGCTGCTTAGCCTTCTCAACAATAGTTCCCAGCTCTTGCCAAAGGCGGAAGAAGGTCCGCATCTCCGCCAGGTTCAGCGCTGTAGTAAACATGCTTAACCCCAAAGACAGGGCTGGCACCAATGCAAAGTAGCCCATCTTAGTACAGCCAAACATGTCGAACAAAAAGCAATTCTAAACAACAAACAGCGACGCCTTCCATGGTTTCCAAATAATATAAGTGTGGGATGTTAGTTTAGAGGTAATGCGGGATATTGCTTTGTCCTCTCACTCCCCACGTGTTTTTTGCGCTCCCACAGTACCCAGTCCAGCAAATGGCTTCAGAAAGCACATGAAAAGACGTTAAGGGATCAATTTTGTTGAATTGATATTGGGAAACGTAAGAAAAAACATCAAGTAAGAAACCATCCTCTCCGCTTTCCTCTTGATTCCTCCAAACAGTATATATATATATCAAATGAGGACTGAAGCCGGACAAACCCTCGATACTTATTATTCCGAAACCCTTCACAAGATAGAATAGAAATCAATTGTAAGGTGCCCGCGGACGACAGTAACCCCTTAGAAAATTGCATTTGGCAAGATTGCCGTGTAGCTTTAATTTTTGATAAAATGGATCAGCTCAGAATACCAGGACCAAGAGGGGCACACAATCCGACAGATAGGACGCGGCAGGAACCCCCAAAGGACGCAAAAGGAAATCAGGAACTTCAGTGATAAAACTTATTACAGCAAGGGAATGTAATTATATGATTCCGATCTCGGAAGCAGTTCATAACTGTATTAAATCAATTCCAGGAAGTTCGTGAACTACCATCTGGCAATACGTGAATATATCACTATATCATTAACTGATACAGTAAACACCTAGAGCCTAGAGGCTCTGGATGTTCACACATAAACACTACTCGCAAAGGATGCTAGATCAACCGATCAAAATGCAAGGGAGAGGCAACAAGGCCCGACTCTGGGTCTCTACTATTTCAACCCATTCAAACAAAAACAACACTATGACTATGTATTTCAAACCAATTTCCATGTCAACCCGTTCTATGTATTTCAAGTTCAACCTCTTTCCATTTGATGTGACAAAGAACATCTGTGGATCATTTTGGTGAGCTCTGCAGGCAGGCCGGCCAAACCTACCTCGAGAGAACAAGATCGGGCACCACATCTGGTCCGCGCAATGGGTTTACAAAAGCTCTTTCTGCGGTAGCCAAATGAGGTCGCCCAATGATCCAAGTACAACAGTTTTGGCTGCAACATCCACTTAACACACACGTGAGGTTCTTTAAGGCAGCAAGGGTCAAGAGTATGATGCAAGCTTCCCTGCGTTCAGCATCGACGACTTAGCTGCACTGGCAGCAGCAACGGTTCGAGACATAGACACAACATACGGTTAACCTTTTTCCACCTGTTGGGCTTTAGCGGGGAAACCAATCCCAAAAGCACGTTCAAGTTACAGGTTGTCCACTGACTGGGTAGGCAAAACA